AAGAAAATTACTTGAAGAAAAAAAAATGTAATTTTAAAAGTTATCTGCTTAATTATTTAAAAAGAAATACTGGGAGGTGGAGTAGGTACTTTCTTGTATTTAATTTCTAAACACACACAAAAAAAATTCAACAAACTCCACAGTTGTTAATGATTACAAGGCAGGAAGTCAATTTACAAAATTTTCTTATCACCCACAATGCATTTCACAAAAAGATGGAGACTCTATAGCAACTAAAAAATTACATGTAAAAAGTTGAAAGTCATTAACTAATTGCTTCATTATTTCTAAGTTGTCCTATTCTTAACATTTACGTTTAATTTCTTTTAATGATTTACCAAAGACAAGTCAGACTGTCTTGTACAATTCAAAAGCTGATCTCTGCAAGCTGAAACATGTTAGAGTGCTAAAGACTTTGATATAAATTGCACAATAGAAACTGGAAATATTCAATCAGACTCCATTTCTTAGCTTAGGGAATTTGTAAAATGGTTTTAGATTTCAGACAAATGCACAAAACAAAAAGAAAGAATATAATGATTCTACTTTTGAAATCACCAAGTCAAATGCTTTGGTAAACTAATTGCTGTCCTATACAAATATAAAGTTGAGAATAGAAGCACAGACAGGAGAGATGAGGGGATAAATGAAGAACATAGGGGGAAAAGAAGAGAGAAGCGCGGATGAGAGCGAAAGAGAGAAGCGCGGATGAGAGCGAAAGAGAGAAGCGCGGATGAGAGCGAAAGAGAGAAGCGCGGATGAGAGCGAAAGAGAGAAGAAGATGAGAGCGATGAGAGCGAAGAGAGAAGCGCGGATGAGAGCGAAAGAGAGAAGCCTTGGATGAGAGCGAAAGAGAGAAGCGGATGAGAGCAAAAGAGAGAAGCGCGGATGAGAGCAAAAGAGAGAAGCGCGGATGAGAGCAAAAGAGAGAAGCGCGGATGAGAGCAAAAGAGAGAAGCGCGGATGAGAGCGAAAGAAAAAAAAAAATGAAGAAAAGATGAGAAGAAGAGGAGGAGGAGGTGGAAAAGAGAAGATGACGCGGAAAAGAAGATGCGGAAAAGAGAAGATGAGGAAAGAAGAAAAGTGATGCAAAGAAGAAAAATAAAAGGGAAACAAAGCAATATTGTGAAATTTTAACTTTTCTTCTATGTGCCATGTTACTTCAGGATGTAGTCAATCATGGCTCTCCACAACTTCCTGTCCTTTGTAGCCCTGTCCTGGAAAAGTTGCATAAATTTTTCTGAATCATGTCTGCTTCATTTTATTTATTTTTTGTTTGTGCTAAATTTTATTTATTTTCTTTTACTAAATCCACATGGGAGATATTAATCCAACAATGGTTATTGGTATGGCTGGATAGAATGTTTACTTTTCAACAAACTAATAATCAAATTATTAACTGATCCATGATTGATCAAAAAAAAAAAAAAATAAAAAAATAAAAAATAAAAAATAAAAAGTAAAAAAAGCTCGTTAGGTAGGTTATGTGCTGCATTCATCTGTCCCTCTTGCTTTCAATACACCCTGTGAGTGTTCAATTTTTCAAGCCTTCTTTTCTCATTAAGCACCTTAGAAATTTCAACTATCTCTTTCTGATGCTAAGTGTCCTTTTTGTTTCTATTTTCTCTAAAACTCCATCATTGCTCATGTATTCAGTGCATGGTATTCTCAACATCCTTCTATTGCCTCTTCAAGTCTCTTCTCCATCTGATGAGATGGTCCAGCATTCACTGCTGTATAGGAGAACTGATATTACATAACAGTTCAGTACTTTTTTTCTTTATTTCCAATGAAATTTTCATGTTTCTTACTACTTTGCTTAGTTTTTACAAGGCATTTTTCACTATTCCAATGTGCTTTTGGATTTTTGTGTCATATTTTCTATTAAAACACTTCCTAGATATTTAAATTTTTGCATTCACATCTTGAGAAGATTCTTTTTCTTATAGATTTCCTTTTAGTTTCTACTAGACCACCCATTAACCTGTTGGGTTTCTTTAAAAAGCAGCTCATGATACAAAATGAGGTAAAAAAAATATCAATTTTATTATGAATTACACATTTTAATTTGTATTTAAAGATGGTATAAGAAGGTTTATTGTTACACTGGGCTTCATAGTCAACACATTGCATGAAAATTTTGATTAATATCTTCAAACAGGTGTTTTTTTTTTTTTTTCAAAATAATATCTTATTAATTAAATTTTTTCTATCCTGAAAATGAATGAAATGCACCAAAAACAAATATATCCTGATTTAAAGCAGGAAAATAAATTATTTTATGATATCAATAGATATGACATTAAGAGAAAAATATCTTTCATAAAATGTACTTTGAATACAAAATTAATAATAAAGACTGTAAAAGAAGGTTTATTGTTCCACTGGGCTCCATGGTTAATGCATTGCATGAAAATTTTGAGTAATAGCTTAAAACAGGTGTAGACTTTAAAAATAATAAGCATATTTTTTTTATTATACATACTCGTTTCTTCCTCACATTTATTTCAAAATAGATAATGGCACCAAATAAGTGTGCATTTATTCATTTATTTACCATCAGGTCATGTGACACATATAGCCTTCCAAGTAGTTCTTTATAAAATAATGTTATATAGTGTAGTGAATAGTAAATATATGTGGTATTATACATATGTAAATTTATTTAATAATGTTATAATGTATTATGAATTTGTATTTTTTTGCACACATAATAGTTGGAATATAATATGCAAGTGTTTATTTATATATGTGGATTGATATAAGAATGTACATAAAAAAAATACTGAATTTCTTATTAAAAATGCCATAAAAATGGAAAAACAGCTCAAGAACCCCTTGTATAATTTTAATGAACTCTGATACTATACTTGACAGAGGCTCAAGGTACAATATACTCCTAAATTGGTTGAGTTATTATGCATTGTTTAAGCTGTATCTTGGGAACATACATACAAGACTAGAGTTTTAGTATTATATAAATTTTTCTTAAGACTTCCTCATTGCTCACATGTTCTGTCCATCGTATTCATAGCATTTGTTGGTAGAACCACATCTGTTAGTACATGTGAGGAAATTGCTTAGCATTAACTTGTCATATAGCAAGTTAGATATTACATAGGAGCTAGTCTGTTTCTAACAAAATGTCTTAATACCTTACAGAGTTTTCAAAAGACAACTTTTGCTATTCCTATATACCTTCAGATTTTGTTGTCACAGTTTCCATTGTCTGTTACTGCATTACCTATATATATATATATATATATATATATATATATATATATATATAGCTAACCATTTTTATTTATAATCATGCATTCTGCCTTAAAGTATAAGAATTATAATGGTCACCTGAGACGAGATGTTAGCATTTCCATTTCAGAAGACCTTACATGCTGTTAGTTAAAATATTTAAATAGTACAGGAGTGCAACACATGTACAGTGTACTTTGTAACCAAACTTTTCTAGTCCGACATTTTTTAATTATGCCAGTAGAAATTGCTCTTATCAAGTACAGACAAGTTAATCTCTGGAGTCTGTTAATAAGGTTTTGAAGAAGAAAACAAAACAAAAAATAGCCAAAAAGTGCTAAAATATTGTCCTAATTAAAAAAAAAAAAAAACTAAAAACAAAAAACAAATACAAAATTATATATATATATATATATATATATATATATATATATATATATTTATTTAGTATTTGCTATGGTGTCTAGCAAATTCCCGTTGTAGACAATGGCTCAGGAAGGACAGAAGATGGGGGAGGAGAGAAGATGGGGAAAAAAAAAAGATGGGGGAAAGAAGAGAGAAGACGGGGAAAAAAGACAAAAGATAATAAAAAAACAGAAAAGAAGTAAAGATGGGGGAAAACAGAAAAGAAGTAAAGATGGGGGAAAACAGAAAAGAAGTAAAGATGGGGGAAAACAGAAAAGAAGTAAAGATGGGGGAAAACAGAAAAGAAGTAAAGATGGGGGAAAACAGAAAAGAAGTAAAGATGGGGGAAAACAGAAAAGAAGTAAAGATGGGGAAAAACAGAAAAGAAGTAAAGATGGGGGGAAACAGAAAAGAAGTAAAGATGGGGAAAACAGAAAAGAAGTAAAGATGGGGAAAACAGAAAAGAAGTAAAGATGGGGAAAACAGAAAAGAAGTAAAGATGGGGAAAAACAGAAAAAGAAGTAAAGATGGAAAAACAGAAAAGAAGTAAAGATGGGGAAAACAGAAAAGAAGTAAAGATGGGGAAAACAGAAAAGAAGTAAAGATGGGGAAAACAGAAAAGAAGTAAAGATGAAAAACAGAAAAGAAGTAAAGATGGGGGAAAACAGAAAAAAAGTAAAGATGAAAAAACAGAAAAAGAAGTAAAAGATGGGGGGAAACAGAAAAAGAAGTAAAGATGAAAAAAACAGAAAAGAAGTAAAGATGGGGAAAACAGAAAAGAAGTAAAGATGAAAAAAAGAAAAGAAGTAAAGATGGGGAAAACAGAAAAGAAGTAAAGATGAAAAAAACAGAAAAGAAGTAAAAGATGGAAAAAACAGAAAAGAAGTAAAGATAAAAAACAAAAAGAAAAGAAAAAAAAAAAAAAGAAAAGATGGGGAAAAAACAGAAAAGAAGTAAAGATTGAAAAAAACAGAAAAGAAGTAAAGATTGGGGAAAAAGAAAAAGAAGTAAAGATTGAAAAAAAAAGAAAGAAGTAAAGATGGGGAAAACAGAAAAGAAGTAAAGATGAAAAAAAGAAAAAAGAAAAAAGATGAAAAACAGAAAAGAAGTAAAGATGAAAAAACAGAAAAGAAGTAAAGATGAAAAAAACAGAAAAGAAGTAAAGATGGGGAAAACAGAAAAAAGAAGTAAAGATGAAAAACAGAAAAGAAGTAAAGATGAAAAAAAGAAAAAAAAGTAAAGATGAAAAAACAGAAAAGAAGTAAAGATGGAAAAACAGAAAAGAAGTAAAGGTGGAAAAAATAGAAAAGAAGTAAAGATAAAAAACAGAAAAGAAGTAAAGATTAAAAAAAAACAGAAAAGAAGTGAAGATTAAAAAAACAGAAAAGAAGTAAAGATTGAAAAAAAAAACAGAAAAGAAGTAAAGATTGAAAAAAAAAACAGAAAAGAAGTAAAGATTGAAAAAAAAAACAGAAAAGAAGTAAAGATTGAAAAAAAAACAGAAAAGAAGTAAAGATGAAAAAACAGAAAAGAAGTAAAGATGAAAAAACAGAAAAGAAGTAAAGATGAAAAAACAGAAAAGAAGTAAAGATGAAAAAACAGAAAAGAAGTAAAGATGAAAAAACAGAAAAGAAGTAAAGATGAAAAAACAGAAAAGAAGTAAAGATGAAAAAACAGAAAAGAAGTAAAGATGGAAAAACAGAAAAGAGGTAAAGATGGAAAAACAGAAAAGAAGTAAAGGTGGAAAAAATAGAAAAGAAGTAAAGATAAAAAACAGAAAAACAAGTAAAAAAAAAAAACAGAAAAGAAGTGAAGATTAAAAAACAGAAAAGAAAGTAAAAGATTGAAAAAAAACAACAGAAAAGAAAAAGATTGAAAAAAAAAACAGAAAAAAGAAAGATTGAAAAAAAAAACAGAAAAGAAAAAGATGGAAAAAAACAGAAAAGAAGTAAAGATTGAAAAAAAAAACAGAAAAGAAGTAAAGTTTTGAAAAAAAAAACAGAAAAGAAGTAAAGATTAAAAAAAAACAGAAAAGAAGTAAAGATTAAAAAAAACAGAAAAGAAGTAAAGATTAAAAAAAACAGAAAAGAAGTAAAGATTGAAAAAAAAACAAAAGAAGTAAAGATTGAAAAAAAAAACAGAAAAGAAGTAAAGATGGGGGAAAAACAGAAAAGATGAAAAAAGAAAAGAAGATGAAAAAAAAGAAAAGTAAAGATGGGAAAAAATAACATAAAAGTAAAAGATGAAAAAAAAATAAAAATAAAAGAAGTAAAAGGTCAGGGAGAAGCTAAAAGTATGTAAGTATAAACGAGAAAGATTGAACAGAGTAAGAGGAAAGAAAAAGTCTTGAATTGGAGTGAAATAAATTTAAAAAAAATTAAAACAACCTATTCAATTGTGCTCTTGAAATAAAGCTAATGATAGACAGGACTTATGAAGAAGGCTATCAGAAAAAAAATATTGAAGTTCTAATTTTTTTTTAAAACTTTTTCCAAAATTAAAATTAGCAAATTTCTAGTTCTCATATAAAACAAATAAAAAGAAAGCCCCCCTCAAAGAAAATTAACACCCACTCATTGAGTCCTTTTTAATTTTCCTATTCCTGTGAACAATTGAAGGAACTGATGATTAACAATAGTATCCAAGACCCAGAAACTTAATCCAAAATGAAATTCTCTCTAAACCCCCAACCCATATACACCACAAAATAAATCCAGAACATTCTGAGAAACAGATTACATTGCTAGAACAATATAGCTGTAAGGAAAAAGGAAGTCATCTAAGCGAAAAATAAAATGCAGGAGAATGTAATTGACTGCAGTGGCTAAAATTAAAAACACATGGAATAAGAGGACTTATTAGAAAGTGAAATTAGAAAAATGTATTCACTTGAGTCATGTATCCCAAACTGAATTATTATAGATATTTTGACTAACATCTAAGCATTTTTGCAAGTGTCCTCAAAGATTTCTATGACTAAGCCATGAGCAATAAACTTGTTAAACTATGTCAGTGTCAAGTTAAAATAAACAAAAATGCTGCTAAGTCTTTTTTTTTAAATCATTTCACTCCAAGCAAGGCAATAAAGCTACAAACAAGGGCTTATTGAGTGTTAGAGAATGAGAAAAATATACTATTAAGAACAGAGGACAAAAAGATAACAATTGACACTGCATTTAAATTTTTGAAGATCAAAATTGACTGGAAAGCAAGAAACTGGAAGAGAGTTCCACAAGGAAGAAGTGCGAGAGAAGAAACTGTTAGCAAAGAACTTAGTTACATCTAGGCGTTTCAATTCTAATATAGTGAGACTTTGCTGCCAATCTATTACTGAACTTAAATTCATGAAATCTATGCTTGCAATTCATAAATTGTCCAATAAAGAAAAAAAAAAAAAAAATATATATATATATATATATATATATATATATATATATATATATATATTAGTTTATGCAAATTTAGGTAATCCGTATGGGTAGACCTGAGGAGGATGATATCCAGAGAGCTCAATGTAAAATTCAGAGCAGATATGTTTGAATAAAAGACAGACCACATTAAGATTCCATGTAATAAGCTATTTCACCATAACCCCTTTAACAGGGTTCTGGATCATCAGACTTTACTTCCAAAAAGCTGAAATGAAAAATGAAAAAATTCATTCACGTTTTTACGGACCTCATCAAGTATACGCAAAAGTTGAGGAAGTGAGGTGGGAGAGAGGATATGAGTGTGTCATATGTATCATTTTAGTTTCCTATTTTAACCCCAGCGTGTCGGGCTGGATGTTGCTCAAATCTAACGTCTCGTCTCTAGATAAAGGTGGTTAAGGGGTGAGCGATAAGGACTACATTAAGGAAGACGTTACAATAACCCCAATAAATTACACGACAAGTTTCATTCAAATTCTTAGATGCTGTGTGTGTGTAATATATATATATATATATATATATATATATATATATATATATATCTCACACACACAAGAGAGAGAATGATATATACATTTCTACATAGTTAGGTAAATGAATGACAAAGTGGAAAAATTTTGTGTAACATGTTTTGTCCTTTAAAAGGAATTCATTTGTCCTTGTAATGCTTTATTGATAGAATTAGAAATGTGTAAACAGGAGGGAGATGTAAAAATGAGAGTGTTGGTTATAATTATGTGCCAAGGGGAACCTTTAAGATGGTAGAAATGCTGAAATTTAATTTTTTCCTCTTTTATTAGATGTATCTGGAGATCATCCATGGCAAGCTTGCATTCAGGTTTACATTTTACCTTTCTTGGTAGATCTTCTTATATCACAAAATGAGGTACTTTAAGTACCCCACTTTGCAAATGCAATAAAAAAAAAAAAAAAAAAATAAAAAATAAATAGGAAAACTGAATTAGATTGGTGCAGTGTCCTGTTGCCAGACATAGGGTCTTCCAGCAGCCACCCTCTTGACTCAGGGCAGCACTACCTGCTCAAGGCACTTGATGTAGGCCTTTGTGTTGAGTCAGAGGCCTTGTGGGTTGATGAATGGAGGTATAACATCGCCATCACTCGTGATTACTCCAAACATCATCACCATTAGATTCATCCAACTCTGTCCTCAGATTGACACCCAAACACTGAAATGTTCGTATTGGAGCTTCTGGTGTGAATGTAAAGCAGTACAACCTGCAGTTTCCAAATTTTCTGGTAGAGTTAATTGCATCATGTTGCTCTTTTTCTCACAGATGGTGCCCAACTGATCCTATGATACTGTGCAGTTGACAAAATTGAAAACCAACAATGCGCATACACAAAATTAAAAACATAACATGGCAACAATTTACCTATAGCATCCTATGTGCAAAAATTTCAGATAAAGTATATCTGTAAAAGAACAATATTAATAAAGACAAAAGGAAAACTTACCTTAGCCGACACATTTCATCCTCTGAAAGTCTATTAAGGTACTTGAAAAAAAGGCCATCAGAGGATGAAATACATTGGCTAAAATAGTCTTTTTCACACACACACATATATATATATATATATATATATATATATATATATATATATATGTGTGTGTGTGTGTTTTCAGCTATATATATATATATATATATATATAATTATTGATGTAACGTTAATTCAGAATTGAGAATCAGAAATATCAGAGCTTTTGGGGGGATTGGAATCAGAATTTTTAACCTAATTTCCGATTCCAAAAATGATTCTTTGGATTTATTTTTTTTGTTTAAAACTTCTCCATTCTTGGTACTAATGATAAAAGATATTTATTGATTTTAAACTATCAGTAAAACTAAAATCTATAGATCATAATAACCGCTAAGTTAAGTATGATGTAAATTTAATTTACTTGCATAAAAAAAAAAAAAAAAAAAAAAATTGAAATGTGCAAGTTTCTACTCAGTTCTCAAATTTTCCATGGAGTTTACTAATGTCGGTTTTAGTTCAAAATAAAATGTTGATTTTCTTTTTAAACATTGTTAATTCACTCATTTAAAATTTTAAATTATTAATTTAATAATTATAATCAAGATTATGTAATATAAACACAAAATGAATTCATTTTGTTGTTCTGCTGGGCTCTCTTTTAAAGACATTTTTTTTTTTTATTTAAAAAAAAAAAAAAAAAAAAAAAATGTATGGAATTCCCGCCAATGTTACATTTGATTTCTTCACATGAAAAAAATGACCTTGCGTCCCAAGTTGTCTTCATGGTGAGGCAGTTAAATTGCAAAAATTTGTTTTATAGTTTTAATCCATAAAATCATTTTTGTAAGGGTTATTGAAAAAAAAAAAAAAAAAAAAAAATTTTTTTTTTTTTTTTTTTTTACATGTTATGCTACGTTAAAAAACAAAAAATAAAAAAATTATGAAAAACTTATTTGAAGTTTCCTGAAATACATTATTTTTTTAAAAATAAATATATACAGAAGATTTGGACAATTTCTACATAAATTAAAGGAAACCAACTATAAGCATGGCCACAATATGCTGACAGTGTTTGGAAAATAAAAAACAACTCTAGATACATACATACCCCCCAAAAAAAAAAAAAAAAACACAAACATACATTCAATTAAAAGTAAAAAATAAAATCATCTTTGACAATGGTGAAAAGAATAGCTGAAAGCATTTGGACAGTTTCTTTATATATATATATATATATATATATATATATATTCCTCACAAGACCAATAGTGAAATATTTAAAAGAAAATGATTCTATTAAAAGAATTATTAATAGACAAAGGATGTCTAAGTTTTATAATGAACATAAAAGCATAAACATAGCTTAGCAAAAAAGCAATCACAATTTAGTTGCACATGTGGATTAGTTTGTCTCTAAACTGAAAGTATTCAGCATTGTTAATTATAATTACTTGCAAACATAGGTGATCAAATAAACTAACAGAGACAAAAAGGAAAGAACAATTGTTACTATTAGCACTATTATTATGACTACTAAATAAAATAATCACATGTCTTTACTTTTTTCATATCAATAGGTCATTACAGTAAATTTTGTTTCAAGCTTTTTGAAAATTTTAACAAAGACACTCAGCCAACCATACAGACTACATACTTATATTAAAACCTGTAATAAAAATCTTATTTTTTTTTATCCTTCTTATTAACATCTTTTATTTTGTATGCAAGTGTTTTCCACATGAGAAGAAGAGTTCTCTACATAATGATGGCTTTTTATTACTCGAAACATTACTTTTAGTGGATACCTCTATTTGAGTAGATATGCCATTTATTTTAAACAGTATCTGTTTCATCTACCAGTCAGTCTACTCAAGAAAATTAAAGAAAATGTATCCTCTGGCATGGTTTGAACCTGCATCCCTCTTTGCAGGAGGAAACCCCCATCTGATCCAGCATGTTTTTACCACTTGTCTACAAAGAGCTTCACAATAAAGCATTGTTCTATTTTGCCTTTAAAACACACTCACTCAGATTTTTCTTGAAACACATATCTGCTCAGTTTTGTATCCAGAACACAAGGCAATTTCTAAAGGATTGATGGATTTTTATTTTTTAACCCGAGATATGTTTATTATTTCAAACATTGTTTTTTAGTGAATACCTGTATTTGAGCAAACACACCATTTATTTTAAACAGTATTTATTTTGTCAACCAGTCTGTAGATTTGAGAAAACAAAGAAAATGAAATAGAATCTTATGCTAAACTTAAACAATTCACTCTGTAATAAAACAACACTAA